ATCTTGTGCATTCTGATGTTTGGGGTCCATCTCCTACACCCACCATGGGGGGTTCCAGGTACTTCGTGTTATTTATTGATGATCATACTCGTTTTACCTGGATATAGCTTATGAAAAGTCGCTCTGAATTATCATAAATTTATATTGATTTTGCTACCATGGTCAAAACCCAGTTCTCTAAAATTATCAAAGTTTTGAGAACTGACAATGCTACTGAATATCTTGGTACTAAACTTCAATCTTTTTTGAAAGAACAGGGTACACTGCCACAACAACCTTGTCCTTATACTTCTTAACAAAATGGGCGAGCCGAACGCAAGCACAGACACATCCTTGATTCTGTTCGTGCTCTGCTCATTTCATCCTCTTGTCCAGAGCGATTTTGGGGTGAGGCTGCTCTTACAGCTGCTTATCTTATTAATCGCATTCCATCATCAGTCCTTAATAACCAATCTCCATATGAGCGTCTACATGGTATTCTTCCTGCTTATAATCTTTTTAAGGTTTTTGGTTGTGCATGTTTTGTTCTTCTTCCACCTCATGAACATAACAAGTTATAACCTAGAGCTTGATTATGTTGTTTTTTGGGTTATGGGATTACACAAAAAGGATATCGTTGTTGGGATCCTGTGTCACAAAAACTCCGAATTTCACGTCATGTTGTCTTTTGGGAACACACTATGTTCTCATCATTGTCAAACTTCAAAGTGTCATCCTCTCATCAACCTCCATTTTTTACTTATCCTTCTATTGAGCTATTTCCTAGTAATTCTAATGCAGGTACATCTGATGAGCTCTACAATGCCTCACCACATGCTCCAACCAGTTCTGTAGAAGATGATCTGCCTGTTGGTAATGCATTAGATAATTTTGAGCCTTTTTTTACTTCCTCGTCTACAAATGAGTTTGTTGTCCCATCCTCGAGTCATTCTACTCGGGTAAGAAAGCCTCCAAACTACCTTCGTGATTATCATTGTTTTCCTGCTATTACTTCGTTACATGAGCCTCAATCCTATCAAGAGGCCTCTTCTAACCCTCTTTGGCAACAAGCTATGCAAGATGAATTACAGGCTCTTGAGAACACTCGTACATGGGATTTAGTTGATCTCCCTATTGAAAAATCTCTAATAGGTTGTAAATGGGTGTACAAGATCAAAACGCGATCTGATGGTTCTGTGGAGCGTCATAAGGCACGCTTGGTTGCCAAGGGTTTTACACAGGAGTATGGAATCGACTATAAAGAGACATTTGCTCCAGTTGCTCGTCTTACATCTGTGCGTAGTTTGCTTGCTATCGCTGCTATACGGAGATGGAAATTGTTTCAGATGGATGTGAAAAATGCTTTTCTTAATGGTGACTTAGAAGAAGAAGTTTATATGAAACCATCTCCTGGGCTCCACCATCCTCTAAACAAGGTATGTCGATTGCGCCGAGCATTATACGAGTTGAAGCAATCCCCTCGAGCTTGGTATGCAAAGTTTAGTGCTACTGTGAGTGAGTTTGGTTTTACTTCCAGTCCACATGATACAGCTTTGTTCATTCGTAAGACTGCTCGGGGTATGGTTCTTTTACTTCTTTATGTTGATGACATGATTATTACTGGAGATGATGTCGCAGGTGTTGACGAGTTAAAACAATCTCTCAGTCAGAAATTTGAGATGAAAGATCTTGGTGTTCT